GTAAGACAGTCCCCTGTGGTCTAAATGAAACATCTGTGCTGTGCTTTGGTCAAAATATTACATGACTGAAGCACCAGAGGAGGTTTGTGACCCTGTATAAACCAGCTCTCTCTGAACGCTCCGATTCGGTGTGTGTGTGTCTCTTTAAATGCAATGAGCCCCCCTTGAGTTTTCCCTGTAGACATCACTCATTCGCTAGCAAGAATAAAAATGGAGGACATGCGCAAAAGTTTTGCTCTAAGCTGGGGGTGGAGTCCATGGAGATGGAGATACCAGGGGAGGGGAGGGGATTTTTTTTTTTTTTTACCAGAATCCCACTTTGACATCACAAGGAGAGCAAATTTTAAACGGAACAATTGTCTCTGTGTTGTAGGACTTATGCAGACCATAAACACAAAAGAACTGGATGGGTTTATTTCACATTGTGTGGGTCAGTAGACACTCAGATATATCTTCAAAAACACTGTCAAAGTGGATTTTTCATACTATGTCCCCTTTAAAATAATACCGTACACTCACAGCACTAACCTAGCAAAAGAAGCAGCAGGTGCTGTAAGGACTGTTTGCTTCCTTGGGATTCGTATCTCAGACTACATACAGGCTTTTCTATCCAGCTGGAGCTTGTCGAGATTCAATGCAGCCTGACAAGAGGACACAACCCGACTCTTCAGCAAAAACCAATCTGCTATATGTTCAGGAAAAGTCACCCAATCCATGTTAAGATTTATGGTTTACATTGTGCTAAAGCTAAGACAATGGAGGGCGTTGCCTTTGCTGCAAGAATTTTGGTCAGCATTATTTGGTTATCTGTTTCCCTTCCATTTCAGTTTGTGGTTCATGCTGATCAGTAAATCTTGATGTATCATTTTCTACTGTGAGTTGATAGAACAGCTCCCACAAAATTAAAAAACATAAACCCCTCACTTTTGCCCTCCGACACATGCTACCATATATCAACGGTACACCTTTTTCTCTTCTCTCTCTTTCATTCTGACAGCCATTATAACACAAGTCATTAAAAAAAGATAAAGCATATTGTAATGAGGAACTTTTTTTTTTTTTTATGCTTGTGAGAAAAAAGGCGACATCAGATGCTTTGTCAGAGATGGAAACGTGTCTGTGTGATCACTGATCCCTCTGAGTGTACTAGCCTGCAGAAACGCTGATACTTGAGGACCCGTCATTCTCATGGAGAGCAAACTCTGATTCTGACTAAAGTTAGAAATGTGGAAGATAAAGCCGTGGGGAGTTGTCAGAAATATTTCTGCAATAGGATAGTGTCTTTGTCTCTGCTTTTTACCCCTTCTTTTTTTTTTCCCTTATGTCTCATATTAAAGCATCTCTCTATTTTTTCTGGTTTTTTTCCCCCCTTTTCTTTCTCATTAATTTGTCTCGTTTTGTTTTGCTGCTGTTGCAGATGTGATACATACAGCTTGGTCTTCTGAAATAAAATCGTTTTATTCTGTGACATTAATAACAAGAAGACTTACAAAAAGCTAAACAGCTTGCTAACCAAAGTTTAATCCTTTCTTGCAATTGCCCAAATACAATTGTAGGCAAGCAAAATGTACGTACAATCGCAGTGTACTCTATTTGTGACACACATTGTCAGCCATCCAACACCACCTTCCACATTTGGATTCCAACTTATAAGTAGGTGAGTTGTTTATGGATGGTGAGCATGTTCTTCTTTACCCCCCCCGTGGTAACCTGTCAGGGTCGTCACAAGGTCACAGAGCCAGTGATCAGAGAGCCAGACAAGTGATCCCCCTCCTAATGTGCTTGAGAATAAAGCTAACTATGGCTGATTCTGCAGCTTATAGTGCTCATATTTTTGGAGAAAATTGAGAATTTGAAGGAACCAAAAGACAAGTTAAGAATTGAATCCCTCATTATAAAGTCCTGCTGTACCTATGCCAAGACCAGACATCCCAAAACTAGTTCGAGAGCAAAAGAAATTCTCTGACGGAGAAGCTTCAGTCGGGGAGATGAGAGATGAGTCACCGGTACTTACCGAGATGTTCTTAATCATGAAGAATTCAGGAAGTTAAAACAAATGTCAAGCAAATTATTTTTTCAACAGGAACTTGGCTTTCAAGATGCCAGCTTCAACAAAGTGGAGATAGGGATGTCACAGGGATTTTCTTTATGAAAAGATACTTTTAAGTGAGAGACCTTCTGTCAAAAAAACTAACTATCCTGACCTACATGTTTATTGTGATTGGCCCACAGCTGGTGCCGCTTGTCTTAACTGATGAGGCATAATGAAGTTCTTGTGACATTTCTGTTGTGAAGCGAGTTTGTATACGCAATTTTAAGGGGAGAAAAGGGCAAGTGTTACAATATGTTTGGTGTCACTTAACGTTTCAAGTTCTACCACTGAAAGTGTGTTTTGTTCCTGCTGTAAGCACTCCTAAAGGCCCTGACACCCCAAGGGCACCGACGGCCGACGATCTCCTTGGTGTGTCGGGGCCTTTAAGCTGCTACTCTGTCACGTGTGAAACAGAAGATGATTGGTGCGTGTGTTAACATTGAAGCTCAATACATATCAAGGGTTTTAAACTAAGAAGTAAGTCATTCTTTTGTTTTTCCATCATGCTGCTTGCAACCACTATCCGATTTCATGATGCACATTTTAGGCCCTTTCACTCATGCACTCCTCACAATTTCTTGAAAATGTCACGACACCCAAATCTCACTTCTCTGAGTTCCCCCTTTCACTCACGTCTCTCACAGCAGGAATGTTGATCCAATGATTATTCTTCCAACATTACCATTACAAGATGGTGCACAAACCAACAATGTGTGGCAATATAATGACAGTTTTTGCCTTTATATTGACGCTATGAAATGTTGTGTATGTTTGATAACCAAACCTCAAAGAATATGCTGGACAAGGTGATACAAACTGAAAAATCCATTAAAAAAATCCCTGGATATCAGTCTTTGAGTAGTCATTCGATTTGATTCCACAAGATAGATCACTGATATTTGTTTGAGAACCTACTGAGGATTATGTTAGACAAAGGAAAATTGAGTCTTATTTGACAATTATTTTATTGTGAATAACTAACAAAACAAAATCTTAAAGTTAAAGGAACTTTTCCACACAGTGAGTTGGTAACCTTGCCAAAGTGCAATAGCTTTGTTGCCTGTTTTTTTTTTTTTTCCTTTTGGTTCATTTAATATATCTAAAAGATTCATTGTTTCCTGTGCATCCCCCGCTTAATGAAATCTTAAGGAAAAGTGGTTGTCATGCCCCAAGCGCAAAAAAACATTCCCTGAATCCTAATAGCCTTGCTGGCATCCAAGCACTCTTTTAGCTTGTTGTTCCTTAATGATACAGATTCATTAATCACTTTTATTCCATGACTCAACTTGAGCTGTGCTCCACATTATTCCCCAGTCATTACGCTCTCCTGCACTGCGCTGCATGGCTCGCTGCATGGTGACAACGACTGGATTTCAAAGTTGATATTTCCTGTTGACGGTGAAGAGGTGAACTCATATAGTGTGTGAAATATAAAGTTAATGATTGCATGCTGAAGAATAGCTGTTCAAATGGACTGAAGCAGCAGCAACACAGAAAAACCGAGTTCGAACCCTTGAGACGGAAAAAAATCAGGTACAGGTGTGTGGATTGATGTTCTCCGCAGCTTGCCTTGCACCTGTTTGTGAATTTCAGTGTTCATGTGTGTACCTTGTAGCTTTAACCTAACCCTCAGGTCAGTTGTTGATGATCAATAATGTGAATCAATATCCATATATGTGCTCGAGGTTATCATTGAGCTACAGCGTTTTCTCATTTCATGCAAGTCACACCACTTTAGAAAGACTTGACATTGACTTAAGATGGTCAATAATCTACGTGTCCTATATACAGAGTGTGCAGCCTAGCATGGCATGCTACCTGGACTACCCTTAACACAATCAATATGTTAGCATAAAGTGTACATTTTAAGATATGCTAGTGGGAGGAAATCATTTGACACTGCTCGCTCTGATTTGATATCTAAACTTCTAAAGAAAACTTCCTATGTTTTTCCATTTTTAGCTTATTTCAGGTTTTTTGCTAGCGGTGGTTCTAAAAGGCTGCACTCTTTCTGGCCTTTTTGTAAAACGGTGCTTTTGTAGGGAGAGAGAAGGCAAGTGCATCTAGTAGAAGGAGAGGAGTAAACAGACCCGGTGACTGATGGGTGAAGAGAAAGATAGGGAATGAGCGATAGGAGAGAATGGGGAAGGAAAGCTAATATAGTTTGAGATGGGGTAGACAAACTTTGTGCGACATCTGAGGAGTTCTCTGTTTATTCTTGTTCGGTTTCTACTGGGGCAGAGAGGAGGAAATAGCTCCAGAGATGACATGTGATGAGCGGGAGGAAGAAAATGAAATATGGAAGAAAAAAAGGAAAGAGAGAGGGGGGGGGGAGAGACGAGTTCTCAGAGCAGATGCCATAATCTCTTCAAATGCACATTGTACTCCGAGCTTATAATCAGTATTTGGGAGCAGCAGGAGCACCTAGCCATGAAATGCAAAAACTGATGGGATCACATCGAATATGAAAACAAACAAAAAAAAGTTCTTGTTTGTTGTATACCAACACATCTGTTAACTTCCCCTTCTGTTTCCTGCACCTTCTTTCCCAGTCTTTTACTTGTCTCTTCTCCATCTCCATGTTCAACCCTGCAGCCCGTACAGCCTTCCTCCTCCCTTGTCTAACCCCAACGGATTCGACCTCTATTAACCTTTCCTCCTTTCATTTTCCCTTTATTCTCCTCTTGTTTCTTGTCAATCATCATTTCTCTCCTTTCATTTTGCCAAGCTCTCTTCTCTTGTCTTTACTTATACTCTGTTCTCCTGTCGAGTCTCTCTTCCACCTCCTTCATCAGCCTGATCTCCTTCCTTGTTCTTTCTACTCCCGGATGTCCTTTCTTTACCTTCATCTCCTCTTTTCTCTTTAATTTGTCTGTAATGTATGCATACCTTCCCTTTCTTCCCTCAGAGTGCGGACCTTCCCTAAGGATTCAGCCTTACTGGGTAGGGACACTGTTCGAGCCCTGATGTACTACGCTTTGAAGGTCTGGAGCGACATCGCACCACTTAACTTCCACGAGGTGGCAGGAAGTGACGCCGACATTCAAATCGACTTCACAAAGGCCGACCACGATGATGGATATCCCTTTGACGGGCCGGGGGGCACCGTGGCACACGCATTTTTCCCCGGAGAGAGGTTCACAGCTGGGGATACGCACTTTGATGATGACGAGGCCTGGACCTTCAGATCTCCAGGTGAGAACATTATTATCTCCTATTATAATCCTAAAAGTACGTTTGAACAAATGTGTAACATCAATTGAGTGCCAGCAGCACTGAATAAAATAGTTTCAGATATATTCTTTAGCAGAGAATCTTCTTTTTAATCTAAGAGTTTAAATTTATTTTGAAATAAATATAGGGCCCATTTAAACTGTTTCTATTCATCTTGTAGCTTCATTTCAAAGCCATTCATCCTCACTTCACCAAAAATGTATCCATCATTTTAAGAATTCTGTTTAATATTATTATACTGACAGATTCAACCATTCATCTTTAACTTTAAGGTCACTTTTTCAATCTCTGTCAATTTTGTCTGACTATTTCAACCATCAGTTCAGTGGTTCAACTGATTCAGCCACATTTTCAATCATAAGTTCCTACTGTCAACAATTTATCCATTACTCTTACTACCCCATAACACTTTTACTCTAACCATAATGCTTGCTGTTCAAACCATTTACCTACCAGCTATCTTTTATCTAACTTTTTAAACCATTATTATTTTCTAGATAAGTGTTTCAGCCATTCATCATTTTGTCTTAATTACCATATTAACAACTCATACTGATGGCTAACACTATCTTTTTTCAGTGAACCATCAACCCTTTTTACTTTTAGCAAACTGTCAAGCACTTATCCATTTAGCTTGATGCTTACTTTTTAAAGCATTTTACTTCTAGCTGTAGGTACACTTGTTTGCTGAACTTCTTAACCATCGAACTTGAACATATATTGTGTGAATGTGTTACACGTGACAGGTTAATGGACAGCTTTCTGGTAATGGTGAATTTGAAGAGATCAGCATCACAACAACTTGCAGTCCAACCTTACAGCGTGTTCTCCCTTAACCCAGATTTGATTTCATTGAGGTAATTAGCTGAGCTTACCACGTACCATTTGGCATCTACAGAAGCAGCCCCGGGGTTAGCTATGGTTGAGTGTGAGTGCCTCAGGTGATACTCTAGTCGCCTTGAGCTTTTTATGCAAACGTTTTTTATGTGATTCAAGTTTTGTGAACATGCTGGTAAACTTATTGGCTACAAAATATTTAAGACTTGTTCACAGCAAAACCTTTACTGCCCCGACTAACAGGGACACTGTTTATGTTTGCTCCAGAGTAAAATGTTGAAGTGCTTAAATGATTAATGACTAAGTCAATGGACTGAGAATAAATTCTCAACACAGTCAACCAAAAATCGTTTAAGCTCATAAATCACAGTGCTCCGCTTGGGTCCAGCCTCTCAAACGTAAGAAGCATTCGTTTCTTAACTCTTGAGTCATTTTGCTTTTCAAACTGGACTGTTGGCTTGACACACGCAGCATTTAAAAACAGGATTAGGTCTCTCAACTTTCTCTCTCAACTGGTATGGGCATTTTTCATGTGTATTTTATATTCCATTGATTCAACAATTGAAATATTTCATTGGAAAATTAATGTTTGACATGATGAGGTAAACGTATATATGCATCCCTAATTGAATTGTTATCCTGCTGTAGTGAGTTAAAGGCAGAAAAAATGCAAGAACTTGTGGAAATATCAGAGTTATGTGCTTATCTATTATTTAAAGTTTTTTTTAAGTTCAGGTTTTGGTAATCTCGAGCTTTGAGTTGTGACCAGATGTCTTATTTTACCAGAGCAAGGTTTATTATTACTGTAATATGAATATGAATCAAAGTATGAATGATAATCCGTGCTACTCGCTTTATTAGGTCTCTTATTACTGTCATCGCTGTGAAACATATTCATTCGGTGCGTCTCGGCTTTGTGCAGCGTGAGCTGATGGATCGGTTCATTCAATGTTATCCTGAATGATCTGGCCAAATGTCTTTCATCAAACACTTTTCAAAGAGTGTGATTACTCGCTGAGGAAGATCTGCGACTTTGAAATGACGACAGGATGACAGCAGCTTGAAATGGAATTCAATCAGCTCTGCCAATCAAAAGTAGAAAAGCTTATATAGGAGCTGTATTAGAAGTATCGGTCTGATTTTTTTGACAGCACTGGAAACCACAAGGCAGTGCATTTGTGTTTGCCTTAGTAAACTCCAAATTGTCACTGACTCATTCTTTCACTCTTTCATACCTTTATTCACTCTGTACAGACACCAGCATTCACACGCCTCCTCTTTTGTGTTCAAGCTGAAACCCGCTGTGTGCTTGTTAACTTGTGTTTGATTGTGAATTTATAGAGCCTTTGCAGAGTGTGTGTTCACTCTGGTGCAAAGGAAATGACTGCTTGCACAACAGGACCATTTTTCAAAACGTGACCATGTCTTCACGTTTTGATAAGAACTTCGTCATCATCCTCAATCCTCCCTGCTGTCCTTTACTTTTCTTGGGGGGGGGGGGGGGGGGGGGGGGTGACAAGCAAGAAAGGGCATGGGAGCATTACAAGTCCACTCATCCGGATGAAATGAGCGGATGGAGTGATCAAGTCGCGCTGAATGCATCGCCGGGCAGGCCCTGTCTCAGTGCGGTCACACGAATGACAGTATAAATCATTCACTCCGCTTTTCTCTGACTTGCTTTCTCTTTTCTTCTTCTCATATGGATGACTGAACTTAAAACGACCTCCCTCTCTTGTCTGCCCAACACCTCCACTCGTCCCTCCTTTTCAAAAGATAAATGGATAGCGGAAAAGACAGAAAATGGGGATAAGAACCGAGGGAGAGATGCATGAGAAATGTTTGATCTGAAATGTCTCGAACAAGATTAAAAAAGAATTTTGAATTATAACATAACATCATTTCACTTGTCTTAGTAGGAAGGTCAGTTTACCTGTGAAGTTATTTGGTAGTGCAGAGTTGATATGTGATAAAGCAGCACAAAGGTTTTGCTACAGGAGGGTCCTGAGGGTTTAATCCACAGTGACCATCTTAAATAGAATTGGCATGTGGGGGACGCAGAGTAGATCTGATGTTTGAGCGGACCCCCAGAGGCTGAGTCCTTGCAGCACCTGCCTGGATTTCTCTCTTGACCTTGGCCCTTTGCTGCATGACATCACCCCTGACTAATAAAGGCATAGTGCAAACAAAACGGTTAGTATCAGCCCTCAATAAGTGGAGTATAACTGGAAGATACAGGGTTAAAAACATGAAAGAGAATACATTCATCCACACCCTATACTGTCATACAATCAACCTGAATAGTTGATTGGTTAGAATGATATAATTCAACCTCTACATTTAGGTAGATTTGAATAGAGTGGATTTTCCTGTAATTATTCTGTTTACTTTATAGAAAACTAATCCAGCTTTATCAATTGGAAAGTGGATAGAGTCAGAACAGAAATGAGAGAGTGGGGGACGTCATGCGGTAATGGAACCGCTGGTTGGAGTTGAACCCTGGTCGCCTGCTTGGAAGGACCACATCCTCTGTACATGGGGTACATAAGAGAACTGCTAGGCTGCCCGTCCAAAAAACAGCAAAGACAAATTGACTAAATTTTAAATCATATTTGCTGCTGCCTGGTTACAGGCCAGCACAAAAAGAGGAAAAAATCTAATCCGCGTTAAGGTTCTCTAGTATAACCTAAATCAATGTATAAAGTTAAACAAATAAGTGTATTTGAAACTTACAGTTCCTCTGTCGTTCTTCTGTTCAGTATGTTTTGGTGTTATATACACACTGTCTTTGCAAAATGCATTTTTATTTCCTAAATAGCAAGGGTGCTGTTCCTTTTTACCACGTCTTCTTAATCCTTACTTCTCTTGGTCTTCTGTCATTTCTCACTGTTAGAATCAAAATTGACACCAATGAATCTGAGGGTGGTCGACTAGCTGGGCCTTTATTTGATTGGCCGAATGGTTGAAATGCATGGCTCATGTATGTTTGCTTGTTCATTTATTCTTTTGCCCTTCAGTCTTTTCAAATATGTTTATTAGCCATGTTCAAATTCCAGACAATGTAAATTTTGTGTTTTGAGTAGTTTCTATAGAACTGCAAGTACTACCAGATCAGGAAAAGGCCATTGTTCCTGTCAGACTGTATAAAGTCCAAGAAGACAAGAGCTGAAGAGGTGTTAAAAGTTTCAGATATATGTGGATGCCATTTCTCCTCCTCCTGATCCCAAATGAAGTCTTTTTCATTCCAAGAGAAACAGTATTGCAAGACTTGGCAGCGTATACGTATTTCTCACCGCACCTCTTTCTCACCTCACGCTCAGACATCCCAAATAGAGTAATTCCTGGATGAAAGAAAAAATCCGTGACAAAACCTGACATGAATACCTTTTTCCAAAGCTAGAAGCAAAACAGGGAAAATCTACATCCAAGCAGGCAGCTTTTTTTATGAATCAGCAGCACAGACAATTTGAGTGATTTTGCCACGCGGAGCAACAGCGTGTGATTTTCACGGTTGTGTGTATATTATCTTGTGCAATGTACTGAAGAAACAAGAGCTCAGTTACAGAGCGTGCACACTAAGCTCCAGTGCTTTATTTGATGTTGCCGCATTCTGAAAAAAAAAGGTTCCCATTTGTGGGCCTTCCCGTGGGGATTTTTTTTCACACAGCATCGTAGCAAATCATCCAGACTGTAATATCATTTTGACTTTGCATTGGAACCTTTTATTAGAAATATATTACCTTACAATAATTTTGTAAAATCTTGCAATTGGGTATCATTTTGTGACTCAGTCTGTGATTGTGTTTATTTTAACATCCCTCTCCATCGTTGAAAAAAAGACGAAAAAGACCTGCATTTATTTTCTTGGTTTCAATGTGAGGTAATTGGTTATCAGAGTTCTTTTGTCTTATATAATATCAGGCCCAGATATTTCTCGTCAGTGAATCAAGTCATTTAGTGAGCAGATAGTTCTCATTTCAAAAGAAGAGAGATAACACTTTGTAAGCTCAGGGGTTCAGACACCTGTCTAATATCGCTGAAGGAAGTATCTAATAAAGCTTCATGTTTCTCACTCTTTTAATTTGAAGGGATAAAAAAAAAAGTGCATGTATTAGTCCCTGACATCA